AAAAAAAAAAAAAAGCTAGTATAAGTATTTCTTTGTAGGAAAAAAAAAAATCACCACCAAATAAAAATACGCACAGGAAACACATGCTTGTCCACAAACATGTGATGAGGGTGTAAGCCAGGAGCCTGTATAAACATGCCAGTAACGGGGAGCTGGGAAATGGAAGAAGGCCTCAGGAGACTGCCCTCAAGAATGACAAAGGCCCTCTGTATTTCAAAAAAGTGCCTTTAACCTTTCCAGCCCTAAAAGGTTCTGACCGTAACCGAGTCCTTTGATAGTTCAAGATGTTGGCATGGCTGACAAATTCCTGCTGCAAAAGCCAGATTCAGAGTAAATGGTATCAGAGAGAACACAGACTGAATCTTTATGATCTCGGGGTATTTCTGGAAGTTTGTTTCACTTTGTTTTATTCACTTACTTACTTACTTACTTATTGATTGATTGATTGAGATGGAGTCTCACTCTGTCGCCCAGGCTAGAGGGAAGTGGTATGGTCTTGGCTCACTGCAACCTCTGCCCCATGGGTTCAAGCAATTCTCCTGCCTCAGCCTCCCAAGTAGTTGAGATTATAGGTGCATATCACCACATCTGGCTAATTATTGTATTTTTAGTAGAGATGGGTTTCACCATGTTGGCCAGGCTGGTCTCAAAGTCCTGACCTCAGGTGATCCATCCACCTGAGCTTCCTAAAGTGCTAGGATTACAGGCATGAGCCACCATGCCCGGCCTGTTTCATTTTTAAACAAGTCCCTAATAGGAGTTTATTGCCTGGTCTTGTGAGTCCTTTTCTTTAAAAATGGCCACCATCAAAATAATCTAGTTGATGGTCTAAATTAGTTGTGTTCTGTTTTAGTTGAAAAGTAAGGTATTGCTCAATATCCATATACCCAATTAGATTTTTTTTTTTTGAGACAGAGTCTTGCTTTGTCACCCAAGCTAGAGTACAGTGGCATGATCTTGGCTCAATGCAACCTCTACCTCCCAGCTTCAAGCTATTCTCCTGCCTCACCCTCCCCAGTAACTGGGATTACAGGCATGCACGACCACATCCAGCTAATTTTTATATTTTTAGTAGAAACCAGGTTTTCCCATGATAGCCAGGCCAGTCGTGAACTACTGACCTCAGGTGACCCGCCTGCCTTGGCCTCTCAAAGTGTTGGGATTGCAGGTGTGAGCCACTGCACCCAGCCTAGACTTTATTTAAAAATCAAGACTGGGGCCGGGCGCGGTGGCTCAAGCCTGTAATCCCAGCACTTTGGGAGGCCGAGGCGGGTGGATCACGAGGTCAAGAGATCGAGACCATCCTGGTCAACATGGTGAAACCCCGTCTCTACTAAAAATACAAAAAATTAGCTGGGCATGGTGGTGCGTGCCTGTAATCCCAGCTACTCAGGAGGCTGAGGTAGGAGAATTGCCTGAACCCAGGAGGCGGAAGTTGCGGTGAGCCGAGATCGCACCATTGCACTCCAGCCTGGGTAATATGAGTGAAACTCCGTCCCAAAAAAAAAAAAAAAAAAATCAAGATTGGTTAAATATTTGAAGAAACCAAATGTGTATGTGTGTATGTGTGTGTGTGTGTGTGTGTGTGTGCGCGCAACAGTCAATTAAAAGTAAATATAGTAAATGTCTAACTGAAAAGGTCAAATATATTTTGATCAGTTATCAAGGCACACTTGACCTTTTCAGTCAAATATAGTTTTGACTACTGAAATTCCAAATTGTCAACACTTCAGGGTCTCTGCACTTGCTGATCCCCCAGTTGAAATGCCCTTCCACCAAATACCCAGAAGCTTCACTCTCCAAACTCCTTTAAGTCTTTGTTGCACTGTCCTCTCAGCAGCCCAGCCCCTGCTCTAACCCCTTCTGGCTTTTTCTTTTCTCCATAGCACTTATCACCATCTGACACGATTCAGTTTTGATTTGTTTAGCATCTCCCTGCCATGGAAGTCAGCATGAGAATGTGGTTTTGTCTGTTGTCCACTCCTGTGTCCCTAGCACCTAGAACAATGCCTAGCATATGGTAGGCATTCAGTAAGTTTTAGATGAATAAATTAACACAGGGAGAGTAGTTACTGAAACTAAGCATGTGTGTCTCCCAGAACCCAGTAATTCCACTCCTGGGCACAGATCCCAGAAAACTCTTGCGCAAGTCTATAAAAGGACATGTATAAGGATATCCATTGCAGAATTATTTGTGCAATTAAGAGAGGTAGGGCAAAGCAGGTGCTCATCCCCAGGCCTGTATGGATATCTGGAATATAATTCAGCAGGCAGAATTAACGAATTAGATTTACATACAGGAACTTGGATAGATTCTAAAAACATAATATTCAGCAGGAAAAAAAATAGGAAACAGAATAAAATCTAGAGCACAATGTCATGTGTATTAAAAAAGAGAAAAGAAAAAAAAAACCACACACCAAGAAAAAGATATCACGGATATATCTTTGATATCCTCCAAAGATATAAGATACAGAAATAATCTTCTTTTTTTAAAGACTATTGAGAGAGACCAGGCACAGTGGCTCATGCCTGTAATCCCAGCACTTTGGGAGACTGAGGCAGGCAGATTGCTTGAGGTCAGGAGTTTGAGACCAGCCTGGCTACCATGATGAAAACCCGTCTCTACTAAAAATACAAAAATTAGCCAGGTGTGGTGGCATGTGCCCATACTCCTATCTACTCAGGAGGCTGAGGCAGGAGGATCACTTGAACCGGGGAGGCAAAGGTTAAAGTGAGCCGAGATCACGTCACTGCCCTCCAGCCTGGGCGACACAGCAAGACTCCATCTCAAAAAAAAAAAAAAAAAAAAAGAGAGAGACTATTGAGAGAAATGTAATCCCAGTGCTTTGGAAGGCTGATGCAGAATGGCTTGAAGCCAGGAGTTCAAGGCTCAAGGCTTCAGTGATCACACCACTGCACTGCACTCTGGGTGAGAGAGTGAGACCCTGTCTCAGACAAAAACAAAAAACAAACAAAGACTATGTGGGGTTGTGATCTTAAAAGGAGTAAAGCCAGGAAATCATGCTCATTTCCACCACTCAAACAAGGCCTGACCACAGGGCTCAACCATTGGGCCTAACATGGAACTGCTGCTCCTTCCCTGTCCCTACCCAGATGTGTAAGTGACGGCAGTGGGTGACACAGGGAACATGGAATCTCTGGAGGAGGATCAGATACAAAAGCTTAATAATCACTGGACTGAAAAATCTCATCAAAGCTGGCCTCATCTCTGGCAGCAAATGTAAAGTCTAATTTCAGTCAAAATGTCAAAACATGACTTGGGGGTGGGTGAGAAAGGAAAAGGCTAGAAAACAGAATTTCAGTTGCCACGGATGAGGGAAAATCCAATATGGTTCCTTGAAGTTATTTGATCCTGGCTTACACACATCAAACACATTGTCATTAGTATTTTCCTTTTAAAAAAATCTATTGTCCAGAGAACAATGCAGTAAGTTGCAACTTTAGAGAAAAGCAAGTATTACATTTTTTAGCTAAGATTCATTTCTTTAGACATACAAATAATGTGTATATATATATATATATATATATGTGTGTGTGTGTGTGTGTATGTGTGTATGCGTGCATGTGTGAGTGCATGTGTGTGTGTGTTCCTCAGTGCTCCTCACTCAAAAACAAGTAGGAGGAGAAGGTCACTTTGTAGAAACCCAAAGCCAAGTCGTTTGAGGAACGGGCCCATAAATGGGTGATACTTAGAACCAATCTAACCTGCACTGGTTCTTTGACCCTTCTCTATTTATATATACTCATTAAAGGCAGCCCTGCTTTTTGGACACCCAATAGTGATTATTCCCACACCCTTTCCAAAATGAAAACCACATGCTTTATCCATCCCAGTTTATGAGGACAAACCTGTAAACAAATGTTAAAAAAAAAACATCCTATTATGAAATGCATATGTTTTAAATCACAAGGTAATCAAGCTACTGTCAAACTTAGCATTGAAGTAACTTTCTGAAAGACACAATGGAAAATAAAACACATCAGCAAGTACCATTGAAGATAATCCAGCAAAGATGCTCCTGTGGCAGAGCCACCTGCATGATGAGCCTTAAGAAAGACAAGATATGCAGACACTGGACCACGGATTCTTTATTCTGCAGGTTTTCATCACTGTCGCAGACCAGCTGGTAGTTGCACATATTTTTGCCACTCAAAGCATGAAACTGAAACACATGGAAAAATAGAAATAGAAATAACTGGCCGGGCATGGTAGCTCACATCTATAATCCCAGAACTTAGGGAGGCTGAGGCGGACGAATCACCTGAGGCCAAGACTTTGAGACAAGCCTGGGCAACATGGTGAAACCCTGTCTCTAGCAAAAATATAAAAATTAGATGGGCACACTGGTGGACACCTGTAATCCCAGCTACTCAAGAGGCTGAGGCAGGAGAATCGTTTGAACCCAGGAGGCAGAGGTTGCAGTGAGGCAAGATCGCACCATTGCACTCCAGCCTGGGTGACAAGAGTGAAACTCCATCTCAAAAAAAAGAGAAAGAAAAAGATAGAAATAACTTAGGAAAGCATTTCTCAAAATGTAAAAAACTAAACTGGAAACAATTATGGATAACTAATTTAATAGATTAGTATACAAAGAAACATGATAGGTTTCTTTAAAACATCCATTTACTTAATACTAGTTTTCCTTAGTCAAAAGAAATTTAAAAGCAAAAACAAAACAAAAAAATACAAAAATCCTATTAAAAAAATACAGAATTGAATCAACTGTTGTAAGCTCATCCAGTGGCATTTTAACTTATTTATTAATTCAGACATGATTTAACCATTTACACAATTCACTCAATAAATGTTTCTTGAGCACCTCTATTAGCCACACTCTGCGAGGCAACAGGGACTCTAGGATAAGGAATAAACAGCCCCTGCTCTTGGAGGAGGGAAAAACAGTTCCCGGCTCATGCATCTAGGCTCATGCAGCACTGAAGCGACGGCTGTGGTCACTGAATTGTAAATCTTTTGTAAGGTTAGATGAGAAGGTTTAAAATAAAGTGAGGCCAAGGCAGGCAGATCACTTGACGTCAGGAGTTCCAGACCAGTCTGGCCAATATGGAGAAACCCCATCTCTACTAAAAATACAAAAATTAGCCGGGCATGGTGGTATGCACCTATAATCCCAGCTACTCAGGAGGCTGAGGCAGGAGAATCACTTGAGCCCAGGAAGCAGAGGTTGCAATGGGCCAAGATTGCACCACTGCACTCTAGCTTGGGCAACAGAGTAAGACTGTCTCAAAATAAAAAAAAAAGTAAGGCCATTATAGGGGTGACTGATGCTCAGAAAAGTAGAGAGCACTCCATATATTCCAAGGAATTTGAACTTTAGCCAAAAGGCAAAGTCAATGGGTAGTGGAACAAAATGACAGATTTCTACTTCAGAAATTAATTGGCCAGGCACAGTGGCTCATGCCTGTAATCCCAGCACTTTAAGAGGCTCAGGCAGGTGGATCCTGAGGTCAGGAGTTTGAAACCAGCCTGACCGACCTGGTAAAATCCCATCTCTACTAAAAATACAAAAATTAGCTGGGAATGGTGGCATGCACCTGTAATCCCAGCTGCTCAGGAGGCTGAGGCAGGAGAATCACTTGAACCCAGGAGGCAGAGGTTGCAGTGAGCCAAGATCTCGCCACTGCACTCCAGTCTGGGTGACACAGAGAGACTCTGTCTCAAAAAAAAAAAAAAAAAAAAAAAAAAAAAAAAAAAAAAAAAAAAAAAACAAGAAAGAAAAAGAAAGAAAGAAAGAAAATTCTGGCAAAGTGTGAAAAGCAAAAAGCAGGAGGTAGGGGGTCAAGGCTACAAAGAGGGGAGTAGGAGAGACTTTTTCCCCCAATCGGGTGCCAACCTACATTGCCCAGTATTCTCATTTGTGTGCCTATCTATGGCACAGCCAAATTGAAGTGTTCAATGGTCCCCCAAAGAGGCCTTGAGATTTTCTGCTTATTAACCACATACTGTTCCCTAGGCTTTGAATAGTCCTCAATTTGAAGTAACATAGATTTAGAGTCAAACTGATCAGAATTCAAACACCAACCCTGCTCATTGCTTTAAGTGGGCTAAGAATCTTCCATTTCCTAATCTGTAAAAGAGGCACCTCTTAGGACTTTAATGAGGTTGCAAGATGGTAATTCATGCAATGTATTTAGAAGGGTACTTAGCACATGGAAACTGCTCAACCAGTAAATCAATGGTAGTAATAATTAACAAAATACTGGTATATTAGAAATAAAGTATAAAATTTTTTTATCAGTAGATTTATGTTTAATCTCAAGAGCCACTTTTTTATACTATGTGATAAGCTTTATTCTTCTCTTCTGTAAAACAGGGATAATAGTATGTAACTTATAAAATTACTTTATCAAATTTACTTTCCAAAGCACTTTATAAACTAAAAGCACTCTATAAATATTAGTTATTAAATAACAATAACTATCTGCTACATGAATGAGTGACTGCAGTGACTTAGTCTCCAAAGCATCCTTACAAAGCTTAATAAGTTCACTTTCTTATCCAGCACTGAATGTATTTATTAAGCAACTTACAACATTTGGCTAGATGCTATGCTAAGCCAACAAAAGACATTGAGAAGTGGTCAACTAAAAGATATACTACATAGCTAATCATAAATTATAGCTATTTTAGCTGCTCTTTCATCTTACTGTAAGTCCAGCAGTTTTATCTCTAAAGCCTTTTGGGAAAAAGGCAGCTTTGAATTGAGTTACATCTACTTTATTCTCATCAAAATTGGTACTGAACTGCTGAAGATATCTTCCATAGCATTGTAAAAGGGCCAGTTTGTATTCCTGAAATAAAAAGAGAACTTGATTAAAATTTCAAAATTTCATTTAGTTTATCATTATTAGGTAATCATATTATTCTTAATGGTATCAATGTTGATTATTACAATTATGCCATTACTACCAGCACCATTTTCCAAAAACACAGCAGTCATAGACACTGCACTAGACAATGTAAGTGCATTATTTCATCTAATTCTACTCACCACAAGCCTATGTGAGATGAAACTCTCATGATCACAAGGATTAGAATACTTCCTATGGCACTGAGTGTGGTAATACCTACGTATACTCAAAATCCAGGCTCCAAAATTCAGCATCACCAGATGATGGTAACTCACATACCCAGAGAGGTGGAGTAGTCGTCTTGCTTCTCTGATACCTCATAGGCTTGAAAAAGAAAAGAAAGGGAGGGAGAGAGAGACAAAGGAAGGAGAAGGAAGGAAGGAAGGAAGGAAGGAAGGAAGGAAGGAAGGAGGGAGGGAGGGAGGGAGGGAGGGAGGGAGGGAGGGAGGGAGGGAGGAAAGGGAGGGAAAGGGAAAGGGAAGGGAAAAGGGAAAGGAAAAGAAAGGAAGGGAGGGAGGAGGAAAAGAAAGGAAGAGAAAAAGACAGGAAGGAAAGGAAGGGAGAAAGAAAGAAAATGAGAGAAAAAGAAAAAAGAAAGAGAGAAAGAGAAAGAAAGAGAGAAAAAGAAAAAGACAGACAGACAGATGGGAGGGAGGGAAGGGAGAGGGAAGGAGAGGGGAAGAAAGAGAAGAAGAAAGAGGGAACCAAAGAAGAGAAAATAAAAGAAAAAAAATGCAGAGTGACGTGAGCTAGCTGCCTGTCTTTCAACTGTCAACAGACTCTGAAGTTGCATCAGGACAAATAAAAAGCATCTGAGCAGTGGGATTTTTATTCATTCAAATACATGCTTATGTTCCCATTACAGAATCAGATGCCCCATTTCTGTAACCCACTCAGTAACCTGGAGAGTTTCAGGGCAGGGAACAGGGGACGTGGGCAGTGCTTTCAAGATGTCACCTGTCCAGCTTCTTAGCCCCTTGGGAGGCATCTACAGTCAGAGACAGAGTCTTGCTCTGTAGCCCAGGCTGGAGTGCAGTGGCAAGATCTTGGCTCACTGCAACCTCCGCCCCTCGGGTCCCAGTTCAAGCAATTCTCCTGCCTTAGCCTCCAGAGTAGCTGGATTACAGGCACATGCCACCATGCCTGGTTAATTTTTGTATTTTTAATAGAGACGGGGTTTCACCATCTTGGCCAGGCAGGTCTTGAATTCCTGACCTCATGATCCATCCGCTTCAGACTCCCAAAGTGCTGGAATTACAGGCATGAGCTACTGCGCCTGGCCTGATTTGTTTTTTGCTCACTAATTAATCCTGAATCTTTTCTGCTCTAACTTGATTGATAATAATAAATTCAAATTAAAACAAATATTCCACAAGATGATCTTCACTACAACTAAAATAAAAATAGAGCCTAGAAACCAAAGTAACAAGTTCATTTTCAGAATTATAAATACTTTTAAAAAGAAAAAAAAGGAGAGACAGGGTTTCGCCATGTTGCCCAGCTGGTCTCAAACTCCTGGGTTCAAGTGATCTGCCTTCCTTAGCCTCCCAAAGTTCTGGGATTACAGGCGTGAGCCACCATGCCCAGCCTGGCCAACATTCCCTTCAATGAAAAGTAGATAAAACTTTTTCTTTGTTCCTTTAATTAAATTTTAAAATATCCCATCTAGGCCTTTCTATCTAAAACATTCTGAAACCTTAGCTACTAGCCCTCTTTAACTTGCTTTCTCAGCTGCTAACATACACCTCCCTCTTCCCCCCACCAATATCCACTCCATCCCCACAGATTTCTCAAACAACCCCAAACGGTGCTTTTTATTTGTATTACCAGCTTCTTATACTGAAAAGTATAAGGATGGAGAGGAGACTCTCTTCTAATTCTTGTCGAAACTCTTATTCCACTTACATGAATAAAGCTTACAAGTTGAATCTCACCTGGGTTTCTTTTCTGCAGCTTACCAAGCCCTGTATTCTCAAGTTTCTAAGACCCACATGGTCCATTTATGTGGAACTATGATTATTCTCTAGTTTTGGCAGAGGAAAATAGATCTTACTTAGTTCTTCATTATGAAAGTTCCATCACTCATATCCTCTATTTGGTAAATTTGTCTCCCAGACCAAAAGGATTAAAGTCCAGAAAATAGAAAAGGGAAAAAATGAAGTTGAGAAACTGAAGATTAAGAAAACACGAAACGCTGCCCACGGCTGGCCTAAAATCCCATTGTCTGACATTCATATAACTTAGAATAATTTGGACCTATGCCAGAGCTTAAGGGGGAAACTCACATGATCATTAATGGAAAACCCAGCCATGCTGTGGTCTCATCAAACCAAGTCCACGAGTCCACAGCATTCCAAGACCCAGGCATTCAGACAGAACTAAAAGTAGGGCACAAACTCAGTCTGCAGTACAATACTGAGCAAGAAATAGGGTATGTATGGAACAACTGTTATAATTATATACAGCAAAACATTAAGAAAGAGTTGAAAGACTTGAATAAACAGGGCACTGAAGCAGGCAAAAAAGCCGCAAGGCCAGAAGCCCTGAAGGGTGACCACTGGGCAAGGCCAGCCATGTGAAAAACAACAGGAAGTGATATCTGGGCTCCTTTGTGTAAGGTAGGAACATGATGATTCAGCATTTCCTGTTGTACGCCTACCACACCCTCTGTTAACCTGGCCTCCCTCCTGCCCATCCACAGCCTGCTGCCTGTCTGTCCAGGAATGTCTCACCTCTGGGAAATCTCAACTACAAAACTAAAAAGCAAACACTGTTTTTGGTTACTGTGCCTTAAACTTTTTATGTATTCATTTATTTTTTTCTAAGGAAAAAATCAAAACATGTAAAATAGGAATGGTATCAGACTAAATACTGTAATAAAATAATTAGCCACATGAATTTCTTTTTGGTTCTGTTTCCTCCAGAGGCACTTACTTTCATTTGACAAAGGCTATCTCCAACCTTCAGAAGCTTTTCATTGTAATAGTCAGCTGGCAGCCTGGGGGCGTATTTAGTCCAGATATTAAACAAAGAAGTGGCACTATAAAAACCATAAAAAAACATTGTCAAGTCTGCAGGAAACTTCAGTTAATTAACAAGCAATCCTTTAAAACTTACTTTGTGCTAAGCCTTTCCAACGTGCCTTAGTTTTAATGTCCAATTATTAATAATAAATGTAATTACAGTTAAAATTATTGTTTCTTATGTGCCAATAACTGATTGTAGCCCTTTATATGCATTTTGATTTTTTTTTACTATAAGTTTCCTGGATACATGTGCAGAACATGCAGGTTTGTTACATAGGTATACACATGCCATGGTGGTTTGCTGCATCTATCAACCCATCATCTACATTAGGTATTTCTCCTAATGATATCCCTCCCCTAGCCCCCCACCCCCCAACAGGCCCCAGTGTGTGATGTTCCCCTTCCTGGGTCTATGTGTTCTCACTGTTCAGCCTCCACTTATGATTGAGAACATGTGGTATTTGGTTTTCTGTTCTTGTGTCAGTTTGCTGAGAATAATGATTTCCAGCTTCATCCATGTACCTGCAAAAGACATGAACTCAACACTTTTACAGCTGCATAGTATTCCATGGTGTATATGTGCCACATGCATTATTTTTTTAGATCCTTTACTT